CACCGTCACGTGTCAACTCGGCTTATTTAAGACCGCTTTCCATACGCTCGCCGGTTCCACACCCTCGATTCTATTCACGCTGTGATGCTTAATAATTTCCACCTCCTGGGCTATCAGCCACTGTGGTGCGAATCGCAGTCCCGGTCTTGAAACTTTCACATTCTCCAGATCTATTCTGTCCCGTGTCTAAGACACGTACCACCATCGCTGAGTCTTTGACCAGCGTTTGGTATTCCTCTGCATTCCTTGGTGGTTTTTTTTATCCTTCTTTTATGCTCACCAATTCCGGTTTCAGGAAAGCTACTCTAATGGTAGATAATTTCAGCAGCCTTTGAATAACCTCCGATGTTCCTGCTTTATATGGAATGACTACTGTGCCAATCCGTTCCTTACTGGGTCTAGATACTGGAGCCAATATCGACCAACCTCGGAACCTAGTCACTTGGCCCGATGAAGCTTCAGTGTAAAAAGTGAAACGTTGCCCAGCAATAAATCTATCGATTGTCGCCAAACTTTTTCGAAAACGATAACTATTCAATTGGTTCCAAGTATTTTTCACCTGAGTGAATAATTCACAGGTTTTGTCACCTAGCCACGTTAGAGTGTGCATGAGAAACTTCCTTAGCAGAAGTCATCCAGTGTAGGGATGCGGGGGTTCTTCAGAAGAACAACTACTAGAAGAGCTAACGTAGAGGAGGCTTGAGAAAGGTACGGAGGGCGAAAGCTGGGCAAGGATATGCGTAAGCCGCTTGATCGTCACCATCAAATAACAATGGTCTGTTACATCAAATCCCTTTGATAAACTCATCAGACATGATCAAACGTTTTGTACCGCTAGTCCGTTTGTGGTAGTTAAACGAACGGTATGATTTCAAAGTAGCTTCAAAAAAACGTTCTTCTTCTGTATGGCAGTTGGGGAAAAACATAAGCATATGAGTTTATGAGCAAATCGGTGACTTCCGACTAATTGGTCGCTTGGTTTGCTCAACATTCGCTGAGGCTCACTCGGTGACACAGACACAACAGCATGCTCGTTGGTATGAAAATTTGTTCAGTTGCTTTGAATTGTGGAACTAGTTTAAAGGCTATGTGAAGAAAAACACACTAAGTGAGGTAATCGGCGGGAAATTAACGCCTTTAGACATATGACCTTGCTAGCTCATTTTGATAGGTAGCGCTTACGCATGCTCGGCCTGTACTATGGAGTGTGTATGCTAAGAGATAAATCAGTTCTCCTACTTTGATTAGCTTTTAAATGAGCGCATAAAGTCTTTTGTATCTGCTAATTAGACGCAACAATGCTTTAGACTGAAACGTTGAATTCCATGCCAACTCCAGCAAGTTATACTGCACTATTGGCCTCACCTTGGGAAGGTTTAGAACCTGAAACCATCGTTTAGCTTTATTAAACATATTTACCAGAAATTACGACAAATTCAAGCCTGGCTAATCCGAGCACTAAAAGATCGAAAGCTGATGGTCAGAAAAGACTATGTCTAAAGCTTATGAGCTCTCGCTGAAATCAACCCCAGGAGATAAGGAAAGACAAGGACGCTTCCTGAGCTATCAGCAGTAAGAACGATGTCCAAAAGTGAATATGCGCGACAACAAGCCCCAGAATGAACAGGTTTGATTTTTTACTCCGTTTTGGAAAGTGTGGTGTGATAATTTGACCACCTTCAAAGTCAGCCAAACTCTGATCTATCCGCTCTCCAATCTGGTATTTAAGAACTAATGGGGTTCGCCCGATTCAGACATTGAACTGTCATTATCGTCGGCTGGGTTAGCTTTAAAAACGTCGTGCGCCCAGTTTACTGACGACTGTGTGAAGTATAAAACAAGCTTAGGGCTAGGATTTATTCCACTTTAATCACAGAACATGTACTCATTTCTTCGAACATCTCAGAAGATCCAGTGCGAAAAATGTTGAAAGAGAAATGAAGTGGAAAAACTTTATGATTTACGCGTTTTCGCCCACGCTGCAAGCACTGGAAGGTCCAATCCCAGGCAGTTCCCTGACAGTGAGGGATGCGTGATGAAAGTATGTCGGATAAAAACCATGATGGTATTGATTCACAAACTGAATTAATCCGACCGCATTCCTACCAAGTGAATTCCAGTTATACGCCGGCAGACAAAACATAGTAACACCTTAATGAAACTCGGATGCAGAAATCATTCCTGGGCCGCAAACTGCGGTTTGTATACTTGTTATAAAAACTTGTGTGAAGTAGTAGTGAAAAGACCTTTGTCACTTAGCTCCTTACCATCACAAGTTAATAAAAGACATCTGAGACATGGGTCATTAGATTTGCCTCGATCTCTAAGCTTTCTGAGGCGCACCATTCATACTGGATCGAGCTTCACCTTTTTCAATGAATACCTCAAAGATACTGGGAATTATGTGCGCAAAAAACAGTTACGGCATATAAAGATTACTAACAGCGTTCGTTTTCACAGAACACGAATCAGCAAACCTAGAAATACAAGAGTACCTTTTACGTCATCTGTTGCCATTTTTGTTTCTAGTTAGTGAAACGCTGTGTGTATGTGCTCGAGTCAGAATTTGTCAGGCACCTGGTCTTGGATACCACATGTCAGTAAGACATAAATCATACATCGTTACTCCTGGTGATCCCAAACCTGACGCTCGTGTGCAACTTTTGGAGCTCACACAGCGTTCACCTTAAATATCGCACAGCTTACTTCTTCTACCAACGATCATTTCGCGATACCTCCGCTTCTGGACAGCTGAGGGGCACCATTAGTTATCGGTAGCTGATGTGTACGGGAAATATTACGGATTTACGCTTAAATCGGGCGATACCTGGCTTAGAAGACATAGAAAAGAAACAATATACAAAATATGTTCGACAAAAATTTATGACAACTTTCTGTCATAATCCTGTTCCGGCTACTTTGTCTCCTAACGTCCACGTAACTCCTTGGCACACCAACGCTTGTCCGAAACAACAAATAACTTTGTTTGGAGGCGTTCTCTAATTTGATTTTGGAGATATGGACCCCATCTCTAACTGACACTTCTGCATGTTATACAGGATCCCAGTTCGTTTAAGATGTGGGATGGACCCCAGTACCCTGAAACGGCAAAGAAAAATCGCCTTGTGATAAAACGCCTCTACATCACCGCCTGATTGAACCAGGAAGCCCAGCTGTTTGGTCCCAGGTAAATCGACCGTATGTTTTACTGTGCCTAGCAGACAGATAAGCTTTCGCAGTTTTTAGGCTTCAACCGATTTCATCATTACGGATTTTACACTACTAGTCATCCCGTGCATCTGGTTCACCCAGACTGACATACGTCGCTGCCCACTATAGGTGTTGAGAGTGAGGCTATCAATTCATTGGGATTACTCTGTAAGTGGGAGCATCCTCCTAGATTATCCGATCATTAGGCCACTTTATTTATGAACATTTCGTTAATCTGGTTCTCAGAAGAATTACACCAGTGATGAGGAGTGCATTTGTTCAAAGGTAAACTTTTCTAGTAAGCACCTCCGCAGTGAGCAGTTCGAGGACCGAAAAAGGCGCCTTTTCGGAGGAACGAATGCTCCAGGGACTCAGGCACTCATTGCCCACCCATAGATGTCAGACTATCAGAAGTGGGTCTTTAAACACTGATCAAAACAATATTCCCCGACCTTCTTTTATGTAAACTTTGGTGATTAAGAAGTAGACTGAAGAATGAATAGTGACAGACATAATGCGCAATCAACTTATTCCAACTATTACGCGACTATCGGGTGGGACTGATGACAATCCGGTACACGAAATCAGTCTGCATGCAGATGGGTTGTTTTATTCAGTGACGATAAGTTTCTATTTTTGAACTTTCCTACCTGGTAGTAAATTTAGATGCAGGGAAGGGATTCGAAAGCGATCCAAAATGTTTCAAACAATTAGTTCACTGTGTTTTTGGAAGAAGGCAACGACAATTGCATTGTTGGGCATATTTTCAGCAATAACTATCCTCCCTATGTAAGAGTTCAGTTGTTTCCACAGTAAGTGGAGGTTCACACAATACATATGGTCAGTCATGTGGTGAGTGAATAGGTTATTGTATGAGGCCTATTGAATTCAAGGTGTGATCTACACTTGGTTAGCAATCACACGCTACCAAATGGAGGCCTCAGTGGGGTTATTCTAGCCCCGTGAGACAGTATAGTGGAGATTTTAATGTCATTTTGTACTGCGTCACAGGTGCAGATGAATCTAGCGGATGATCAGGGGGCAGTCATCGTTTGACCTCTCTCTGGCACGGCGTCACATAGCACGTAGCTGGTTCATTATACAGTCCACAGTAATATCCCTATTTGCATATGTGAGCAAGCTATTTCTGTGAGGATTACAGTAAATTGTTTATGCCACCAGCTTTTTGTATTAAATCAGTTTATAGTTCAGTGGTTTTGTGTATCTACTCTTCATCAGATTGTAACAGTATCCCAAAACTCAACCGTTGTCCAATTGTTTAAATAGCCACTGAGCTTGGGATGGTTGATCTTTGAGTGCAACCGGACGCATTTTCACTGAGGTGAAAGTTGAATAACCGACCGGAAGCCCTGTAGTGATAACACTGGTGGGTTGCAAATACGTACCACTTATGGAGCCGAATTGCCGTCAAACTGAAGCATGCGGCGCTCACCAGTACCGGAGTTTATGGATTTTTCAGCATTGTATCGATGGTTCAACCAAATGAGCTAGACTCAGAACCGTATTGGTATACTGTGGACACAAATCAAGCGGAACGCCCTAGTATTCTAACGGGTTCTCTCAAAAGCACAAACGATGCGGCCTGTAACTTATATAGTTACTTGATCAACACCCGTTTGCACTAGTTTATCAGGCCTGCAAGTTTTGAACAACCTTTCAGGAAAATGAAGGAACCATTGTGCCATGCAGTATGCAATTATATATATACACTTGAAAAATCGATATAAACAGAAATAGACGGTTCACTTTATTCATAATAGCTTGTATTGGCGACTTTAGCTCTCAGATTTATTTTCATAAGTGGGGAGAGAAATGCTGACCAAAAACTTTTATAGTCCAACTGGTCTGAGAAAAAACGAAAGAAATTCTATTATATACTGAGTATCTTTGTCCACATAGTGGAAACTGATGTGCCTTCGACTGAGACCAAGCTGCAAAGGAAATGAATTTTTTTTAAAAATTGTCAGCACCTAAAGAAATAGATAAAATTTATGAAATTATACATGAAGCAAGTAAACAATTTCAAGTTGTGATGCTAACTTCATCTAGCATTTGTCTGTACGTTGTAGATGTGAATGGAATGTTGCTGATGTAAGTCAAAAGTTAGGATATACTCTGATGTCACTGGCTTTTTTAGTGTGAGTAAAGTGAGGGAATGCTAGGAAATGGTAATTGTTGGCTACAGTAAACGTGATATAAAATTACGATCAAATCGGTTTATAGAAAGACATTACAGCCATTGATAACTGCAGCTCCAGTTTTTTTCCACAGATTTTTGGCTGGTCGTTCACATTTGGTATTATGGAGCGAAGTGAATGGGCTTCCCGCAAATTTTTTTACTGATATTACTTGGGGTTCAATTTAAACCATAAGACAGGGCAATTTAGCTCGTCCAATCAAGTCAAATTTTCATAGGTTTTTGGCTCACTGGGATGCCAAACTGTATCTGGCCATTACCGAAGATCCACATAACTGATCGATCTGAATAAAAATCACTTGAGACACATTTTTAATATATGAAATTCAAACATATTTATTTAAATATATATATATATAATTGAATTGGAGTTACATTAACATATTTATATATATATATATATAATTGAATTGGAGTTACGTTAAGTCAATGCGCATTCTTTTTTGATGATAAACGGTCTGGTTGTTCCAGTAGCAGATTGGTCGACAGCGGTTAAATCCAATCATGAATGCCCACTGAGTGTGAATACTCATTTGGGTAGGTGACCTTGGTTAGTGGACAGCAAAGGTCCGAGACCAAGTAAGGGAGTGACAGACAAGTCTGGCAAAGTGTATCAAACGTCCGTAGGTTCACGAATGTCGACTGAAGGTCGGTTAGTTCAAGTGAGAGCCTATTTCGCCCTTTCTTTTCTGAATGATTAAATATACGAGGATGGTTTGATAGGACGTGGAGAACTAGAAGAAAATGGGATATTTTATGATGGCCCGAGAAACGACCGACAAATCTGAATGAACGTTAGGAAAACAAGCGACCAGTAGGTGGTAGCAAACGCTTTCTATGGGTAAACACCTTGGAATCCGACCAACTTTGTGCTGTCAGAAGACGGCTAAATCGTTACATCACGTATTAAAAAACTTGTTCGTTCTCCCGTAATGAACGCTTGCCAGTTATATTAGGATACAGCGGTCTACTCTGTTTTCAGAATCTATTCACCAAGTCAGCAACAATGAATCGTAGATCCTAACATACTTCTGGAAATATTTTGAACCTCCTATATAAGGTTCTGTAAAAGCATGTAAACTCACGTGAATTCGCCGAAGATAGGGATCGTTCTTCTTATAGGCTTGAAGAATACCTCCTCTAGTCGCTTTCTTAATTGTGTCAAAGTAGTCCATTATGTCATATGGATAGAAAATTGATTTGCCTGTTTCTGCAAACTTGTCAACAAGTTCAACTCCCACAGCTTCTCCACAAATACCTTTTAGAGATAAAAGTAAAGAACATATCTTCAAGGACTGCTTAAAATCTAGGATGCTTGTTTGTTGTACCGAATTCCCAGTTACTTATTTAAAGAAAGTGGTATTTGCACCACCGTTAAAATCTCGTGATTCTATTAGTGTATAGTGAAGGTTTCGAAAAGGTTCACAATTCCAACTTGTTGGGCGGATGAAAACCGACTCGAATTTCAGCTACAAGCCTAAAAAGCTCGGTAATAAGCTATTGAAAAAGTTGACAGTTTGGATCTTTGTAACAGCAAACGTCATATTGCAGAACAAGGGTATTTCTGATATTTTGTGGCTTGTTTTTTTGGTAGGATTGAAATAAAGATGTGTGGTGGGTTCCTCCTGGAGCATGACGGACCATCAAAGGCTAGAGCGAAGTGGCCAGCAAACACCCTTCCACCATGTTGGTTCAGCTCGTTTAATTTTAATGAAACCGCCGGACAGACACATAGCCCTTAAAATGTACTTCAAAAACACCAATCAGTACAGTGACCTGTCTACAGGAAATCAATTGCGTTGCTGTTGATGATAAAATGAGACCTTACTTGGTGATAAGCACCGAGACGCAAGTTTCATGTGATATTTTCCGGATATTTAGTTCGGAATCATAAGAGACTCTTTTTTGTACTATGGGTGCCGTTATCTGAAAGAAATACTGACCTTGATATTGGCCTCAAGCATTTTCCCTTCTAAAATCTACGGCGATGTTTAAGTTTCGCAGGTTAGTGATCAAAATGAATGCCGTTCAGAGATGGCTTCTGATTTGAATTGAGACTGAATACAATGTAGTCAGAGGTTCGAGGACTGCGCCTACCTGATGAACCTCAAGCAGGGGCAAAACCGGTAGTTGGCTGTTGAAGGGTCTTGAGAACGAAAATGTACTGCAGGATCTCAAATATCGTCCAAAAATCGACCAGAAGCCACCTTCCTACGGCACATTCAACAGAGCAATATCACAAACGAGGAGTTAAGCTGAGATTAACTTGAATCCCCCTTTGAAACCGCTAATGAATGTGGTTAACAAAATTCGTGTTCTGTAGGTTATGAAAGAGAGAGGCTGTACGCTCCTGTGCTAAGGCCGTGATCCCAAAGCAAGGAATTGGTTAATTAGCCTAAACGCACGACCTAGGTGTCCTATCTGACAGGTAACTTGTAGTCTAATTCCCCAACGGACTGCCAGTAATAATTGCGGCGAAACCGAATTCTACGAACTTCACCTGCGTTTCTTCAGTAGTCGCAATTGGGCAGTGAACACTATATTGAATTGGACGTGGGCAGACAGTATAGATAGGTAGACCGTGGTTCTATAGGAAATTAACAGTAAATCGTGAGGAGAGTTAAAGAAAGGCTTACGGATAGATTGGACCTTGGGCAGTTAGCAACACAGGATGGCACACGAAGTGCAGTGTGCTATAGGACAAATTAAACGGGAAAATTGTTGTTCAGTTCAAAGTGGGGCGAATTTTCAACAACAAGCCCGGAAATAAATGTAAACAAATCGTCTACAGAAATCCGGTTGAGGTAGAGTCAAGTTTGTATAAAATAGGACGGTTCGGTCTTGAAACTTGAGCAGTCACGGATGGATGATGAATTAACCTGAGGAATAGGGAAACAAATAATTACGTCACGTAATTAACAGAGGCTATTGAAGAAACTTACTCATCTTCACATCCTCTTTAGCTTCATCGGTTGTGGGACACTTTGGATGTTTGTCAATGGCCTCTTCCACGATGTGCTTTAGTGCACTGCGTGAAAGAAGATAACCCGGCCCACCAGAAAAAAAGCCATTTTGCCGCACGCTCTGGAGAATAAACGAAAGGCGATTCAAACTAATGTTTTCCCTGAAATCCTTCTAAATCAATGTAAGTGGTACTTTATTCCATGCTGCTGTTAGAAAACCATCACTAATGAAAGTACACGACGGGAGACTAGTACCTTTTATTAATTATGGCGGAGTATTGACAGTATCATTTTTGTTCAGCGATTAAATATCGATCACGAGATTTCTGGTATACTGTTTACATTGGTGCGCAAAAACTTCCAGTGAAATCGCAGTTGGGGCCGCCAGACGTATCTGGTCACACTGGTTCCTTCTGAGCAGAGAGACTCCTAATTAGAGTAATCAGCCAGTCCATTGTTTCATGTAATTTTTGAGTAAGGTTTTAGCCGAAAATTCAGTTTGTCATCCATCGTATTCTATATGGTATTTCCTCAAAATAAGGCCCTCCATTTTGATCCGTTCGAGTTGGTCACTTCCTGGATGAGGTACCCATTGGGGAGGAGGGGTCAATCGAACTCATTCTTTCGTACAAAATTCGAAGGCACCTGAGTCTAACATTTATTCTTTTATCCTTGTGTGATATATGAAGTTTTATATCTGCTGATTCGCCAATCTGTTGTATGTGACTGTTGACCCGCTCCAGTGCCTAGTACTGAGAAAAAGACTCACAGAAGGGAACACAGCTATATTCCGAACAAGCGAGTGCGAGAGCGTGAATTCGTCCGGGTGCGAAAGTACAACGGTCTCAGCCTATTTATTGGTGGGACACTGTATGAACTTGGTCCAATGCTGACGCTGTTTGCTGCGCTGTTTGAATTCGATGAAAGGCTTTGAAGCGTTTCATTTGGAGGGGGTATTGCCTCTCTGGTCAGCATCTAGCGGAGCTGAGGGTCTCAGTAGATTTCGGGCATTCAGTGGTTGCTTCCAGGAATCTGACCTTCCTGATATAATGTATATTTGATGACTTATCATGTCATTCTCCCTAGTTTGTCTCACTGAAACATGGTTTTCGCACAGTGAGCAGTAAGCATGAGCTGCAACTAACGACCATGCTGCCAGATGTATCCGCGGAACCTCATAAATAAAACGGGTAATCTACAACTTTTCTCGTGATTTTCAGGTCATTCTCATTGGACTTGTCATGTGCTGCTTCACCCTCCTTTGTCCTTGGACTTATCATCAATTCAAGGACATTAACTATGACGAAGTACTAAAGCCAAGCAAGATAAGTCAGTGTTGGTGTATGGCTCATTTGTTAGACTGCTGTGTCCTACCGCAATCTGGTTCCACCTGGTCGTCCTATAGGTCGATGAAATTCACACTCGTTGTTCGTATGAGCATTGGTAGGCAGGTTTCAAGTGCACGGAGTTTTTATTTAGGAAATAAAAATACTGCAACCTGTTGGGGCAAAAAATCTCGCCTTACATTTTCCACTGCCATAAGTGTGAACGAAGGTGACTTCGGAAAAGCTAGGTTAAAAGATACGTGGATTCATTAGTTTTCGACGATAGTGCGACTCTCTAATCGATCATCTTCAACGGCTCAGCAGTGGCCGTGGTATTTTTGACTGAGCCAAATGGCCGTCAATTTACCTGTTGGGGAGAGGATCATCCTATTTCCCATAACCCGAGCCACTTTGTCGGTTTAATGGCCCTAAGACTGAGCTGTCATTGATCAGCCGAGCATTAGGTTTTGTAAGTGTTCGTAGTTTGTATGGTACATTGAGATTTTTTGCCATGCAAACAATTTATGGAAGCAGTTCTTTGTGGGAACGGTCCAGCTAGCAAGCCCATTAGGCAGTAACAAGAAGGTTTGCTAGGAGTAACCAGTGTAGCTTCACGTGATCTTTGAATGACCTGACTTGTCAGAGCCAAACGGGAGTCACTTGGTCATACCGAAATGTGTTTGCATTCCCCAATCTGTGAAAGGTTGGCCCTTATTGAGGAGCAGGACAGCCAAACTGTTGGCGAATTTCGGTCCCTGGCGGGTTGTCTGGTTCTTCAATGGGTCACTAATTAATAATCCTTTGGAAAGATAAACGTATCTGTGGAGAACGATTTAGGGACAGCATCGTGTACGCGAGACTCCAGTTAACATGAATCAGAGATTCGCAAAATATTTTATTTTGGTGGAATCCGGGCCAGAGGATATGAAAGTAACCAGTTATCCTTCCTGCGATAGATCACTATCGGGACTCAGAGGTCCATTTGCACCTCTGGAGCATTCTCTCCTAAAAAGAGTCAAAACTTTTCCCTTTCTACACCTCCTCCGTCTCTGTTGGAGGGAGCGTGCTTTCTCTCGTACTTTCTACCCTTTACCATCATAGACACACGGTCACATCCATTTCTCTTTAACTAAACGCGCAGGACGAAAACGATAGGACTCTGGTGAGTACTTCCTTAGAAATAAATGCCCTTAACTGTGGTTGAGCTACACGGTAAGCACTATACTTTTGTCAGATGGAGAGTTTCATACATCCATGTCCGGATAATACTGCTGCGTGTCGATTTGGTGGGACTATTATGCGCTTTAAATCAGGAGCGTAGGTGATGAAAACTGCCTACAAAGCACTTATTGTCACGTAGTAATAATGCACTGCTTTTCACGGGTTCCACCTAACACCTTGGATGAAAACATAGGCAAGAAAAACTTGGACTCACCGGCCACCGGAAGCCTGTCATGAACAGTTCATCAGGTGAGTGCTCCAGAAGCGCCTCGCGTAGGCTTGCCATATTTACATACGCATCATCATCAGCCTTGAGAAAGAAGTCGTATTGGTCAGCAAATTCATACACTTCTCGAAGTATCTTGCGCATCTTTACCCAGAGGTGTTGTTTGATTTCTGGAACTTCCAAGTCAATCTCTATATGAACGCAGTATTTGGAAAAGGGACGTGGACATGGTTGAGTCAAAAAACGTTGTATATAGATATATATATATATATATATATATATATATATATATAT